AAGTATAACAGCTAGGTTTGAAAGAAGATTTAGCACCGTAAAAAGAGGAATTTTGAGAAAGATTTTGAAATGATATGTTAGAGCGAACTGGACTATGACTTGGTGATTTCTTGACACTGTTTAGTTGCATCTTAAGTTCACCAAGTTCTTCAAGAAGTAAGTCGACTTCCACTTGACTTACTTCCAGAGAAATTTGCCAGTTTTTCTTTTCGTTGGCCAGTTTGTTATATTCATCGATGACCTTTTGAAGTTCATCAGTAATCATGTCTAAAGAATTTTGCAAGTTTATACAGTTATAACAAATTTGCATTCTTACCTCACTAGTTTCTCCTAGTGCCATGAAGCATACATCAGTTGATTCTGAGGGATCTTCTTCAGATGCATTGTTCTTGTTTTGTTGATTAGTTTCTTCTAGAGCCAAGAAACATATGTTAGTCGATTCTGAAGGATCTTCTTCAGATACATCTTCCTCGCTCCAAGCTCCAAGAGATTTTGGATTATCATTCCTCCTGTAATTCATTCTTTTTAGTTCAGGACCGTTTTGCCTGATGTGTCCTGGTTTTCCACAATGATAGCATCGATCATCATTTCTTGAGTAGCTGTTGTTTCTTGATTCTTGTTGAGGTTTTTGTTTTCTTTGTCTTAGCATTTGTCTGACTCCTCGAGTTATGAGAGCCATTCCTTCACTACTTGCTTCATCAACTTCTTCTTCTGCTTCATAGACTTCTGCATTAAAAGCAACAATTTTCTTTTCCTCATCTTTATTATACCTGTTAATGTGATTCTGTTCATATGCCATGAGATTTCCCCTAAGTTCATCATAAGTCATCAATTGGAGATCTCCATCCTCTAGAATAGCTGCTTTAGTTTCCCAAGCTTTTGGAAGGCTTCTTATAAGTTTTCTTACTTGTAAACCATTTGAGTAGACCATCCCTAAGGACTTTAGTTCACATACAATCTTACTGAATCTAGAGAACATATTCTCAACATTCTCATCATCTGCCATTTTGAATAATTCGTATTCATTTACGAGAGAGCTGATTCTGGCTTCCTTTACTCTGCTAGTTCCTTCATAGGTAACTTCAAGCTTATCCCACATTTCCTTTGCAGTTTCACATGTTGAAATCTTGTCATATTCTGCTCCGCTAACTGCAAATACAAAAGACTTATAGCTCTAGCATTAGTTTGCAATACCTCTTGTTGTTCCTTGGTTATCTCAAAGGACTCTGGATCAATTTCTTTTCCAGCAGTTTCCTTTCCAGTTAGGCCTGGGATTTGGTTTTGGTCCCTTCTTGATTACTACCCATGCTTGAAAGTCATTTGATTGGACAAAGATTCTGAACCTGTCTTTCCAGTGGGAGTAGTGTTGGCCATTGAAGTACGAAGGACGATTTGATGAGTGACCGTCTTGAAGGATTGCACCAGGAATTTGGTAGTTTGCCATAGATCTTTTCTCACGTGTGGTTAAGCACTTTCAAATGTGAGACCTGCTCTGATACCAATTGAAAGTCAAGAGGGGAGGGGGGGGGGCGTGAATTGAAATTTTCTTCGAGTCGACTACTCAAGGGTGAGAGTCAACTGACCTGCAAGTTAGTAATTTCAAATAATATAAAATATGATGACAGAATGTAAAGAAACAGAAAACTTTATCCTGGTTCGGAACACCGATGTGGTGCCTACTTCCAGTCCCCTTGGGTTACAAGGGTTTCCTTAAGAGCTTTGAGTGAACTTGGTGATACAATGTTGGAGTATTCAGTACTTGTCTGATATGCAAATCAGACTTCTTATCTTGACGCAACCTCTACTTGTAAAACCTATACTAGAGATTATTCTTTCTCTTTTCTGTTACAATTGTAGACTAGACAGACTACAAGGTTTTTCTCAAAGATAAAAGAAAGCAACAATACAAGTTCAAGTGAAGTTCGTAATTCTCTATGCTGAGGGTGCGGATAATTTATAGTGTTGGAGATGGATGATAATTCTGCTCTTCAAGGAAAACCCAAGGGATTTTCTTTCAATCAAGGATTTGTAAGGATTCCTTGATTGAGTGTAATCACGTCCATATCAGATATGTTCGTGTAAATATTTTCCTTCCTTCTTTGTGAGAATCTGCCTTGTACAGATTATTGACTTCATGATTCGTTAGCCTTGATTTGCTCCATGTTGATTCCTTCCATTTGAGTGAGTGAATCTTTTAGATTTGTTAGCCTTGATTTGTTCCTTGCTAACCTGTCTTCATGATCCCTTCATTTTGAATGAGTGAGTATTCTTGATCTGCCCTAAATATATTTCCTTCCATGTTTATCCTGTTGATGTTACTTTTCCTTTTTTTTTTAGTCCAACTGATCCTATGTCCTGCAATCATTATCAAAACATTAATGCTAACACATTTATGTTTTGATTTTAACATCCTTAAACGAGTTGTACTGTTGCCAAAATTTATAATCATGTTGGAAAAATAAAAACAAAATGATGATGAATGAATGTTTAGGGGAGAAGATATTATTTTCTTGAGAAATGAAAGAAAATATTTAATCCAAATATTGCTAGGCAGGTTGAAATTTCTTCTCTAAACTAAGATTTTTTCTTTATGTGGTCTAACTATTGAAGGGTGTACTTGTCTCTTCGTTATATTCAAATGCTTTAAAAAGATGTTGTTTTCCTCGGATAACATTTAAAAAAAAAAGATATATATATGAAAAAGAAAACCAAAAACAGAAAAAGAAAAGTAGTTATCCACACATATATAACATTTCTTGGATCAAGAATATTAATTATTTTCCTCCTTAAATTAAGCGTAATCACTCCAATTTCTAGAAGAGAGGAAATGGGATATTGGAGAGAAAATTCATTTTTTATTTTTTTCTTTGCAATGAGTTCAGTGGTGAAAACAACTTGCTTTTTCTTAGAGTTAATATTTCTAAAGATGACTAAACTTTAAGAATTTATCTAACAAAGTCATTGAACTTTGTTTTGTATAAAAAAATCATTCAACTTAGACCTTTATTTTAATAAAATCTCCCAACTTTGATCTTTGTATCAATAAAATCACTCTTAATCCCGTGAATTTGTTACTATGTATTTTCGTTTAAACATTATCTCACTCTAGTAACTCATGGAATTAATATTTTTTTGTATTGTTATTATTAATTTGGTTATAAAGAGTTTTTTCTAAAATAAAATAATTAAGAGACCCAAAAAAGAAAAGAAAAGATATTGTGATGTGCAGCTAAAATGTGTTGGGATTAAAATTAAGAATAATATATAAGAACTTTATTCGGCTTGTCTTGGAGATGGTCTTTGTTGATGGAATTGGATCTCGTCATACATTGTCAAATTATTAACTTGAATAGTCTTTTATTAGTATGAATAGAACTGTTTTTGATTTTTATGTTTGTTTAAAGTTAATTCATTTAGTCAGCTCATTAGCTTTGACGAGAATTGTGGGAGAAAAAAAGAAAGAAGATGACGAAATTCACATTTAAGGGTATATTGTGATAGACAAGTCAAAAAAGCATTAAGAGTGATTTTATTGATACAAATGTGTAAGTTGAGTGATTTTATTGATAAAAAACAAAGTTTAATGATTTTACTAGATAAATTTTCAAAGTTGAGTGACCTTTGGAGATATTAACTTCCTTTTCGTATATGGTTAAGGATAGAAGATTCAACTAGATTTTAATTGCAATATTTTTTATGTATTGCTTTTGCTCTCAACTAATTTGGAATTTTTTTTATTGTAACAAAAACAAATTTGAGAATGATTTGATTTTAAATATAGTTGAATACTATTCTTAAAATGAAACAAAATTATTTTTTCTTTCTTCAATATGTGTAAACACATAAGTCTGATAAGTATCTTGTGCAATTATTTATGTATTGTTTTTGCTCGAAACAAATTTAGAATTCTTTCTTAATGAAACAAAATCTAAATTCGAGCATGATTTGATTTTTAATATAATTGAATATTATTCTTAAAATGAAACAAAATTCACTTTTCTTTCCTCATTATGTGTAATCACATTAGTTTGGTAAGTGTTTTGTGCAATTATTTTACGTATTGCTTTTGTTCGAAACTAATTTAGAAATTTTTTAATGTAACAAAAACAAAATTTGAGAATGATTTGAATCTTAATATAATTGAATACTATTCTTAAAATGAAACAAAATTCTTTGTTATTTCCTCAATACGTGTAAAAATATTGTTAGGTAAGTGTGTTGTGCAATTATTTATGTACTAATTTTCCTTGAAACTGATTTAATTTTTTTTTAATGTAACAAAATTAAAATTCGAGCATGATTTGATTTTTAATACAATTGAAAGAAATATAAAATTTCTACTAAATATGGTTTCTTCCAAAATTGGAAAAATTATAATATGCTTTTATAAGCATTGCAATGGCAATAATCATACACATATCTTCATTTAATATTCAATAAATATTTGAATTTTATTAATAATAAAATTAATTTTTATTATATTATTCAAATATTTTTAAAATTAATATTTCAATTTTGTGTGCCAATATTTCAAATTTTCACTTGTTTCAAAATTTATCCATTTACATTCATAAATTAAAATATAAAAATTTTCAATCTTTCTTTAAAAGAACATTTGTTAATACTATATGGTCAGTTGTTTTTTTTCCATAGATAATACTTACTTAAATCTAAATCAATTAAATTATTTTCCTAATAAGAACATTTTGACTCAAAAAGATTTGTTCAACATAAGACTATAGTCATAACTATATTAATCTCAAGATGATGGAATCAAATTTGATATCAAATCTACCCTCATTTATTTTTATGCCAAAATAGTACCCATGACAACTAAGTGTTCTCTAATTCAAATTATTTAAAAATTTATTTGTACCCTATAAATAGAAGACAATTCTTAGCAAAGAAACGTAACACACAACAACAATAAGAATAATAAATCCATTTAATCCCCCATATCCTAATAAACACATTTCTCCTCCTCTTTCTCATTTTTAGCCATGGTTAGAAAGAAAGTGAAGTGGGATTTCATGGAAAATAACACTGAGAGGAGAGTCTCTTATAGAAAACGACAAAAGGGATTTTTAACCAAGGCTCGTGAACTCAACACCCTTTGCGATGTTGAATTGGCTACCTTAGTCAATAGCCCTTACCACAATGAACCTGAGGTGTTTCCAAATCATGAAGCTGCTACCGGCATGTTTACAAAGTTTGTCGATCTTCCAGAGGAGAAGAAATCAAAAAACATAAAAACACACGAAAAGATAACCGAGAAAAGGATCGAGAAAATTGAGAAGGAACTTGAGAAGGTAAGGAAGGAAAACAAGAAAATGGAGTATACAAACCAGATGTATGGATTGTTGAATGGTGAAGAGATGCCCAATAGTAGGCACCCAGAAGATCTCAATGATCTCTGTTATGTGATCAATAGAAACCTCAAACTGATAAATGATGGGATCAAAGCAAAAACTCACGAAGAAGGTTCTACATCATATGCTCCTCAACTTATTGCTGGACCGATGGATTCTGGTGGGACCAACTTCGACATGTCATGGGCTCCTTTTTTGGCCCTAGTTGATGCTCTAGTACTATCTGAGATTCCTCTTTTGGTTCCATCTACTGTACCTAGTGGGACC